CATTCAACCCAGCGCTGATCACATCTGTCACTCAGGACCTGAAGGGGCGGGTCTTACACATTATCCTGTAAGGGACTCTGAGCTGGGATAGTTCAATGAGACACGCAGCTGGAGCGGACAGGTGGCTTCCAGGTTTGGTGGGGCCTTTGTCTCTCGATGCAGCCGGAGCTCCAGGTCTTGTCTTCACTGCTCTGTGTCCTCTGCCCCTAGAGGCCCAGCCTCTGTGGCCCTGTGACCTGCAGGTATTTGGAGATCCACAGCTAAGATGCCAGGAATCCCTGGAAGTCTACACATAGTGAGAGTGCCCAGTCAGACATCCTGAAAGAGGGGAAGGGGCTGGCAGGTACCAGTGGGAGGTGGCTGTGGTGGGACTCAGGACTCCCTGCAGTCACCTCCACAATCTGCTCCCCCAGTTCTCCATGTCCAGTTCAGCAATAGTCCCTTTCAGCCATAAGATGGCGGCTGCGCTGACAGCAGGGGTCCTGGGCGTCCTGTTTCTTCCTTGCTCGGTGACTGTGCTTTGTCTTGGAGCCCTCTCTGGGCAGCTTTGCACCCGCTGTGCCGAGTATCTCCCAGATTGTGCAGGGACCATAGGAGGGTCCTCGGGAGAATCCTGACTTGGCGTGCGGGTTTACGGAAGAGCTTTGGTCCGTGAAGTTCTTAGTTTCCATTTTCTCCTATTAAAAATCTAAGGCAGCCATTGCAAAAATAAGGAATTTAATCAAAGAGTGATTCAATAATTGCAGAGCACCAGTATGTTGTGCAGTTTGTGGTTTATGAGAGGAGCTTGAAGGAAAGACTTTTATAAGGTGCATGATAAAGAAAACCATATTTAACAATTGGTTAGGTACAGGGTTACTAGCAGTTTCTTCAAGTAGGGACTAGAGCCTCCTTAGACCCAAGTGAGACGGGGCAAGAACTTGCAAAGTAAAATGCACCTGGGGCATAGTGTAGTGTCTCCTGAGAGTGTGGTTATTGAGCATTTAAGGTGAGCAGAATGGGGTGGGTGAACATCTCAAGTGATTGGGTAGCCCAACTTGACAAATGAGTCAGACACATCTGTTTTCTTTTCTTTCTTTTTTTTTTTTTTTTTTTTTTT